AAATTGATTTGAATTGAATTAAAATCTCTCCTTTGACACTTCTTATAGAAATGACAATTGTCAAAAAGGCTCGTTTCAATAAAGGTCTTTTTTTTGCACTCAATAAAATGACAAAAAAAGGAGGCATCCAGCAGAAACAATTCCCTCTGCTTTTTAGTAAAGCCGAGTGCTTTATTGTGCTGGATGCATCCATTGCATCAAAATCCAAACATTTTTGCAAACAATGCATCATAGTCAGTCTTCTTTATCCTCTTTCACCAACTTTCTTGATCTTCTAAACCTCCTGTCATACCAGTCAATTTAAATTTCTTAAATTTATGATGCTTTCCTTTAATTTTATATCTTATACCCTTTGTGAGCCAACCTGGTTTTTTTACTTGCAGCTACTCTTTTCTTTCTATAAGGAATATACATGTTTACCTTGAATATTTAAAAATTTTCCACATCTGATCAATGTCTCCAGATAACTCAGCTTCCTAATTTACAACAGATAATTCTTGTAGCATCCTTTCAAAATTTGTTTTTTGAAATTTATAACCAAAATATCATTATTCCTTATCTCCATATACAGCAAAACATCAAACCTAATAGAGCATTGATCACTTGCACCCAGATGTTACCCAATTTCCACCCTCTCGATCATTTCTGTATATGAAGTTAACAATAAGTCTAGAATAGCATTGTTTCTAGTTGGTGCCTTGACTAACTGGTGAAAAAAGCCATCCTGAACAGTTTCCCAAACCCTTCTCTCTCTCTTGGTTTGACTCTAGAATTTCCCAATCTATATGCCTGAAATTAAAATCACCCATAATTATGACTTCAATAACAGCTGAAATCTTAATCTCATTGTAAAGTTTCTCACTAATTTCATCAGTATCATTTGGTGATCTGTAACAAATTCTCACTAAAAGCCTATTTTAAGTTAAAACGTTGTAATAATAATTTACACCCTTAAACGCTAACTTAAAACTTTTACCATCTTACTTTTATTTACCAATCTTATTATATCTAGTTATTGTGTTGTTATTTAACCCAAATTACAACAAATAATAATAATAATATTAAAAAACTTTCAGAAATCTATGAGCTTAGCTTTTCAACGTCCTCCATCTTCAGTACCACCTTCTTATTATTGATGAGATTGATTATGTGCTTTTCTTGCTAGCAGGATATTTGTTTTATTGTAATAATGTGGTTTAAGAATGTAATAAGATATTAACAAAATTAAAATCATTTTTGTCTCTTTGATTATATGTTACAGAAAGAACACCACCTCTATCATTTTTATTTACATAAAACAGGCTTAAAATGTTTTTACAGTGTGAACAATTGCATTCATTGAAATGGATTTTACTCTCATTTTAAACTGTAACTGAATTAATTGTTGCATAATTTGAACACAACTAAGGTGTGTGGCTTCAATTTGTATATAGTAATATATAATGTTTGAAGGCTTTTCTATAAATCTGGAATTTAGATAGTTGAAATCTTTTGAAACATCCTTGCACAAATACAGTTACTTCTTCATGTTTTTTTATAGCTTTTGCAGAGCTGCAGACAGACATGACAGACTTGACAAACTATTTGCAAGCTTCTGGTGTCCCTGTATTAGACCGTAAGATGTTTGTCATGAAAGTATTTTTCCCTGGTGCTCATGATCATCCTCTACTTCAGGATAGAAAGGTTAGTGAACTATTTGATTGTATAACAGAGACAAAAAAAGAAAGATAGTCTTAAAAAATACCAGTATATATATACATAACAGTATTTTTTATTTTTATCAGTGAATTTAAAATTCTTAAATAACACATCATAATACTTTTTTTCCCTCCAGTTTTTCTTACATGAAAAGTTCATAGATCTTGACAAATTTAAGAATATTCTATGACTAGCAGATGCCTTTAGAATTCAACAGTAATTTTCCAAAAAAATTTAATGAATAAATATAAAATGTGCAGTCAACCTAATCCCTTGGATCATAGTGTATATGCAATATGATTGTATAGTGGGCCATTTACAAGTGTCTTTTGTCATTTCCTATGTTATTTTAATAACAAAAATTGCATTGTATTTGTGTTTAAGCATTTAGGACATCAAAAAGGATGTATGAGAAAAGGTTGGCTGAAAATGTAAAAATTAACAGTAAGGATTTCTTTAAATACATTAAGGGTAAACAAAATCTTAGGATGGGTGTAGGACTCTTGAGGGATGATAAAGAAAGGTTTGTATCTGATGACTATGAGATGGCTGGGTTATTAAATTTTGCTTTTTCTTTAGTTTTTACTAATGAAGATTTAAGCAATATTCCTCATTTTGAACATTTGATAGATTGAAACAAGATCAAACAAAATGATCACATTAATTCTGAGATGATTAAGAAAAAATTGGGAAGTTTAAAGAACAATAAGGCTCCTG